TCAAGAGACATCCGAACTGAAGTAAAAGACAATGACGAACGCGGCATATTGGGGTCACTCGCCCAAAGCCCAACTCGTGAAAAGCAGATCAAGAGACATGTTCTCTGGGTCAAGAGTCACATCCTAACTGAAGTAAAAGACAATGTCGAAGGTCACAGTTGTGCCCCTGGACGAACAGATGCAGTATTCAATTGTGGGAGTCACATCTGTTCATCAAGAGGGTGTGCAGGTTATCTGTTCACGCAAGAGACGTGTCTGTTCGTGCAGTAAGTGTGTCTGTTCGTGCAGTAAGAGTGTCTGTTCGAGCAGTAGATGTGTCTGTTCAAAAGAAGTCAAAAATATAAAGTCCCAGTCAGGGCTCGAGTCAAAGGAAGAGTCTAGATACAGACTGACAGTCCGAAATTAAGGCCTGTGGGCTGCAGCAGCAGTGACCCCTGATAAGGGTCTGGGACACACTCCACAGAGGCTGGGACTGGGAAAGGACCCAAGACAGACTGAATTCAGACCTGGCAAGGGGAGGCCAGCACTATAAAGAATGAGGCAGCCTCCCCACAAGGAAGATTCCCCATTGGCATTTGATGCGTGGAAGTGTTGAGGCACTTGTGCGCTATAGTGCAGGGAGGAGCGCTGGCTGAGAGAGAGCTGCGCCAGAAGGAAGGAGGGCTGGGCGCTGGCTACAGGGAAGCCATAGCTGCGCCAGTTTGTGTTAGTAGTAGTAGAAGGATAAGTAGTGGGATATCAGTGAGATGCATTCAGAGTAGATTCTCGTAGACAGGGAGTGTGCATGCATGGTGAGACAAGGGAACCAGGACAGGGATCTTGAGGGAGAAAAGAGAGAGAGAGAATACAGGTTATGACGTTGGATATGGTGGATAACCTCTTGGCGCCGTACTCGTGATCTGGGGCAGATGCTGGCTGAGCCAGGCCCGGTGTGTGTATGATCGAAGGCGGGAGAGACTTGTATTCTGTGGGCGCTGAACTCTTGAGCTCGAGGTACTCTTGTATAATGTGATTTTTGATAATATAAGCTGCGCTATCTGGTTCTCATCTCATCTCGACTTGGCTTTGTGTGAAGCTACTCAATCTGTGTGATGACATTTGTTCATGTCAAATGATACACTCCAGCAAGTGGGAACAGTCTGTGTGGCATACTGCATAGCCATACGGGCCTGCAGGGCCCGTCCCGCATTCTCAGCCTAAAAGCCTAGAAATAAGGGCTTACAGGCCCCATGTTGTTTCAGCCTGAAACTGAAAACAAGGGCCTGCAGGCCCTATTTCGTTTTCAGCCTATAACAGGGCTTTTCAGCCCTGAGGCTTTTCAGCCTGAAACGGAGGGCCACTTTTGGGCCCTCGTAAGATCGACCTACCCTAAGACTCAGGCACAAAAACAGGGTTTCGGGAACAGGCTATCTTTAGCCTGTTTCCCACGACTGCCTCAAGCAGGAGCTGCTGCGG